ATCACTGTTGAATTGCTCTCGGAATTGCTTCATTATATCAGCAAATCGAATGATGTGTCGTGATGAGAAGTCCACTTCGTGTGCTTTCCTCCTTCTTCTCTTTAGAGAATGATTTTCAGTAGGCTGAGCCTGCTGTGATTCTGGCATGATATTTATACCAGTAAGTAGCGAATTGGGCTCTGAGGCTACTGGAATCTCTTCTATTTGTTTGCAGCAGGATTTCGCAGTGGATTCGTCGTCATTTTGTGGCAACAAATCCAATGTAGGAGATGAATTATCGGACATCACCATGTCTAATGCATTTGGTCTGTTGGAATTGGACTCTTCATGACAATTTGGTGCCTTACGAGTGCCATGTATCTCCATGGACAAGTCATTGGCCAAAATGCTTGCCTCTTCAGCCCAGCACAAGTCTGAATGCGTACTATGAGAGTACCGGGTACAATTGAGTGAATCACCTGAGGGACGCCTCTCCATTTGTGAATAGTTATGATCGTGGGAAGGAACCACGGTTGTTAGCGTATCCGTTCTTGACTCCATGCAATTCGATCTCCTCTCAGAAACGGACCATCCCGCCTCTTCATTGGAAAAAGTCCTGCACGGTATCTGTTGTGAATCAATTGTTTCATTTAAGCGAGGAATTTCTTCTTTTCCTTTAACCTCACTGATTTCTACATTTTCAGCTACCTCTGTAAAACCAAATGTAGTCATCCACGGAAGAGAACGTCCGACCTGATTGCAATGTAACACAGGAATTGCGTTTTTCGTAAGAGACTCCTCATGAGCACAGCCTTCATCTCCATGAATTGAGTACTGTTTGACTGATTGACCACTATTCGCATCTACGTCCATGAATAAGTCCTTCTCTATCAGATTTGACCTTCTGATCCAAGATCTAACGGCGATCATATCAGCCTGTCCCGATTCTTGGGAATTCGATCCTTGTGACGGTGTCTTAGATAGAACTATGGGTCGATGGGGAAAGGAGCTGTTGTTCCTTCCTTCTTCGAGACATTCGGTGAAATGTACTGCCTTATCGTCATTATTCTGAATTCCAGGTCTATTTGGCAAAATATTGCTTCTTTGGGACAACTCTCCATCATCATTTTCGTTATCGTCGGTGGTCACATCCATAAATAAGTCGCCCTCTGTCAAATGTAACCTTCTCATTGAAGATCTACCTGAACTGCTTCCTTCAGAAATAGATGAGGCGAAGGATATTCCACATATGAGATGTGCCGTATTATTCTGGCCTGATTGATCAATATGAGGTACCGTTGGTGTGCTATCCTCATCGGCCCCGTGTGAAGCAGCTCCATGTGAACCTGAAATTGCTCCGCCCACCTCATACTCCCCATCGTATGGACAGTTAATACTCACCTCTATGCCATACTGGTCTCTCCCCAGCCTCGGCTGTGGGGTATTCTGCGTTGCGGTATCGCCACTATCTTCGACAGTTTGCTGCTTCCTACATGAACAAAGTGATTTGATTACAAAACACAGCATACTATAACCGCATTCGGTTTTTACGCTAACGATAACTCGATAACACGATAACTCGAAAAAATATCGTCCTAATCAATAAAATGATAGCTTCAGAAATATGTCCTCATGTTCACTGGACTGAGATCACAGATGAGGGTTACAGCAATAATCGTGTTCTTCATTTTGGTGAAATTAGCTTGGTTTTCGTGACAAATCTCGACGAGATCATTTAATATGAGTGATTGAGTAATATCGTAACTTTGCATGAATGAATTGACAACTTTTCTCATTAATTGATTTGTCAGGAAAACTGTCGGTTCAAGGTGAAAATATCAGAGGAATAGGACGTTCCAGTGGAAATTTTTTCTGGAGCTTCATTCTGGAGATAATGACAAGCTCAGTGGCGAGTGAATGGAGCATTCACGTTTTGCAATTTCTCTGCTGGATGATAGGCTTGATAAATAATTATTCTTAAAAATGTGAGAGTCATTATCACCCTCTGTATGCCTACGAAGAATAGAAACTAAAGACGATCGAGTAATTGAAAGGAAAAAAACCGAAAAAATAGCACCGAGAAGACGCATTAACAATAGGCCAAGGAAATGCGAAGAACCAGAAGAAGAAGTATCCCACGATTTTTATTTCGAATCATCCTTGGTGTGAGTAGGTGAAGTATAGATGTTACGAACGCATGGGTTATAAAAAGAAATGAATGAATAAAACGTAAAAAAAAATGCAAGTGAAC